TGTGAGTCGTGCCAAAATGTCTGAGCGCCACATTTGAGAAACTTTACGGACGTCAAATTGCCGGAGATGTCAAAGCGTGAGAACTGCATCAATGGCCTCATGGACATGAGCTAGACTACGTGTTGGCCAGGATGTCAAACGGCAGACATCTGACAAACTTGGCATACTAAAGCGAACTTTCAGCCATAATGTCTGTGATTGCGCGTCTGACTCAGAACCATCTATGGTTCTACTAGAACCACTCTAGCCAACCAAGCTGCGTTTTGATTTCTCCACGACTAGGTTAGACGGGAGCCGCACGTAGATGTCCGGGCGAAAGGTCGTACTTCCTTATACTAGCGACGGTTATTTCCATTAGAGCAGTTGCAGGTAATCCTGATAAAGCAACAGGACCGGTTTGAAAAGTTGCACGTCAGGCTAATTGAGATACTGATCTAGAAATTTCCAATACAGCCATGCTCTGGGTTAGGATCAAGTGAAATCAGTTCCTTTCCAGAAATCCTGACTCATCAGACCATTGAGTTCCGGTATGATCTAGATGCTGGTGCATCATTCGTTTCTTGTTTCCATAACTATGACTTTGCTAATGTCTCAGAGGAGAACAAAATTCGCCTTATGCTTTGGAAACTGGGTGCTGCTGAATATGAAAAGTTCATAAATTTCTTTCTACCAAAGAAGAGCACTGCCGTATCATTAGATGAAGTTCATTGTTCCCCATCGATCTAAGACTCAGACTGGAAACCTTCGAAATGCCGCTTCACTGATCGGTCCCTGAGTTTTTCAGAGCCTGTCTGTGAACCTCTAAACACCAAGGATCCCTGGACCACTCAAAAGCGCAAGGGGCCACGTAATCGAGTTCGGGCGTCCCTTTCTGAGGAACAACAACCCAAACCGATAAGCGCTTCTAGTCCTGATCCACAGATTCATCACTGGTTTCACTGTGGCGTCATAATTTCATGGTTTTCCAAGTACCAGAGTCCAAAGATGAAAGCCTACAGATATTGCATAATCACGACGTTGAGTTCTTTCAGGCGCTCATCGATAGACTCTTGGAGGTGGATAAAGACAGTGTGACGATTAAACAAGTAATCCTACTTGGCCGGAAAACTAACCAGTCATGTCGACTTCTGAGAATCATTTTTGCTCATGTCAAGTCTGAAAGGCACAAAGATTCACATCCGCCGAGATTTGGAACCTGAAGACAGGGGTTGTTTGAAGACTGTGGTCATTGAGCTCAAACGCCCTAAAGAAAAAGGTGCAACTGACTTACAAATTGTAAATTTTCGGGTGATCAAGAGGGGTGTACGAACTTGTATCAACCGGTTGCTCAACCTCCAGGCACGTCCCGTAGTACCTCTCAGGACCTCCGTGTGGCATTCGCCAACGTGTGCAGCCTAATGAACAAACGTGACAGAGACTTGGCTGAACTCCGACGTCATACCCCAAGAAGTCGTGTTGTCTGGATACTCTTGTTTCCAATGCGACCGAGAATCAAACGCTCACGGTGGTGTTCTGTTGTACATAAAATCGTCACTATCTGGCAAACTTACCAGCACCTATCAAAGCGAGGATAGTTTATGCGAGCAATTGTGGTGCACAATCCGCCTCAGGTGCGCAGAACTAATAGTGGGAGTTATCTACCGTAGCCCATTAAACCGTTGTTGTGATTGGCTACCACATGTACAGAAGCACATGAGCCGCCCTCAGTTCTTACTGATGGGGATTTAAATTTACCTAAGATATTTTGGCCAGACGTACGACTTCTTCCCGGTCATGGCAACGTTGAGGCACAATTCGCTAAAATGACTATTGAAACCGGGGCAACGCAACATGTCATCCAATCGACGCGCGTAACTCCGCACTCGGCATCTTGTCTGAACTTAATGTTTACGAGCTGCAAGCAGAAGCTGAACGCGATCAGAGTCATCGAACCTCTGGCGAACAGTGACCATTGCTCCATTGTGGCAAGCTTAGAACTGTCGTTACCATATTACAATCAACGGAAGCCGACATTCAATTATTGGAAGACGAACTTCAACGGCCTCGTCCACGCTGCAAGTCAGACTGATTGGACACTACCACAGGATGCGTCGCTTGAAGTCTGTTGGTCATTAATGAAGGGGAAGCTAAACTCGCTGTGTACTCGGTACGTTCCTCTGATGTATTCAAAAATCGGACCTGTCAAACCGCATTGGTTTGATACGGAATATAAATACTTAGCGAGACGGCGTCGCAAACTTTGGGATAGATACATCAACTCGGGTTGTGATGAAGATTACACTGTATACAAGAAACAGCGTAACATATGTAACGCCGCAAAGATTAAGCGTCGTTGGGAGTTCGAGGTGGAGCTATCAGCCTTTGCCACAACCATCCGAAAGACTATTCGTCTGCTTTAAACGTCAACTGAAACCTGGGGTCGACCTACCGGTCATAGAGAGCTTGGACAGACAGACAGACGCTCATTTCAAGCGCTGAGAGCGTGGACACCTTGGCTTCTCACTTCCTCACAGTATTTTTCAGTAAACCGGCGACTGTTCCAGTACCGGCACAGGTTGAGGCAGTCTTGCTCGATTTCCTGCAATTTGATGCAGTCGCAGTATATCGGCTACTCGTCAACCTCGCTGGTGCAAAGACCCCCTGACTAGACGGACTTCATCCACTAATACTTAAGTCGCTATCGAATGTCATCTCATCAGCCGTGACAAACCTATTTAACAAATCACTCTCTGAAGTATCTGTCCGCGACGACTGGAAATGCTCGATAGTGAGACCACTTCCAAGGGTGATGATCTAAGTAAAGTAGAAAACTATAGACCGATCTGTTTGACTTCGATATTATCCAAGTTATCGAAGAAGTTGTACAAAAGCTATCTGTTGTCATTCTTCTCAACATTCTAACTAGAATGATTACTTACTTACTTTACTGCGGCTAGCTCCTGCGACAAGATGAGCCGGCTTCATGCATGTCTCGAATTGCAGCTGTCCTAGCGCAGCGGTCGGCGGCAAGCTCCACGCAGTTACTGATCCAATAATTTCTCCATTGACGAGCACCATGCACAGCATTGAGTCACAGAAGATCGACATCGATTTCACTGCAGTGAGCCACGTTTTCAATTGTCTACCACGGCGACGATACCAATCCTCGCAAGGCCAGTCTACGTAAGCTTGCGTATGAAAAACCTTGTGAAAGGCTCGGACTCTACACACTATCCTACCGCGGAGTAAGAATTGACCTTATTATTACCCATCGAATTCTACACTTGAATCACTCCCCCGTACTGCGGACATTACTTTCATACCGGTGTTTAGTCTGTGGTGTTTTTGATGAGATGAAGTGTCGCGGCTGTAGTATTTAAGTCGCTGTCTTATTGGCTCAATAATTTTCACAGGCCATTGGCTGCTCGCCTAGTAGAATGAGTTAGCCATTAGTAAAATTATGTGAATTGGGACATCAGTTTTATGAATTTTCGGTCACCCATAAAGCCCTGGAACATTCGTGTCATTTGACTTAAAGCTATGACAAAGGGTATTTGAGATTTGTCCACTACTCCTAAGCTTATAATAATCTGCTTTTCGATGCTCTCCGTTTCTTCCATTACTCTAGCTGTTCAGGAAAAGTTTGTTTCATATATTCTTCTTAGGCTAAGAGAAAGACCCAGGTACTCTTGTCCGGTTTGCTCAGAAGGATCTTCTCATTGCGTCTCAAATCCTTCAGCGCATCAATTTGCTTGCGTGTCAATGGACCATGATTTCGGACATGTCACTTATAATATGGGTAGCAGTTGTTCACCAGAGAACATTTGAAGATCCTCATTTGACTTTGCTACCAGTCATTTTTGTTTGACTAAATAGACTTTCAAACTGTAGCTCACAGTTCGGCTGATTGTCTCTGTTGCTGGGGTCGAAATTTTATAGCAATTGACAGAACGTCAATTAAAATGGGTTTTACTTTCAGGCTTTTGAAAGTTATGTACTTACCTCTCAGGTCTACTAAGGCTTAAACTGGTTCAGCGTCCTTGTTAGGACCAGGCGTTTTTGCCGTACACGGTCTTCGGTAATAGACTGAACGTAATCGAGGAATATCTTTTTCATGTCCAAAGTTAACTCATCAATTGCATGTTGGGGCTGCGCCGTATTACACTTGAATTCTATAATTTTGTTTGCGTTGTGTCACGTTGGTTCAAAGCTTGCTGCCGTTAGGATAGCTCCTATTGCAGCGCGATCCGCTCTTTACTGTGTATATATCAGAATGCGCCAACATCGAACGTCCCAGGCGGGTAATCCCTTTCCAAAGTTTTGTTTGAATGAAAGATACGGACAATGTTCGATAACCGTGTGCCAAGAAGGAAATAAAAGTACGGCACTTGTCATGTGGAGGAAAGTCTGACTGGTCACAATTCTTTATACTCTTATATCGATACAGGTCGTGACAGATAGATCCACCATCCTTTGTAATTCAGCTTGCAGCTTGTTGTACCAACTACTGTTATGTCTCTTGTGCTGTGTTAGACGATGCATTCGCGGTAATAGTTAACTACCGTTGAATTTTAACTTGACAGGGGACGGCTGACCACTGAACAACAGTTCTTCCCGCAACACTAGCCTTCTTCACTACTTGAACTGGGCTTTTAACTCATAAGCTCCCGAGATAGAGTAACGGACTTGTGCAGAACATTTTATGTGTCACATAAAAACTTAATCTGACTAACCATTTGTTAGTTTAGCATTGGTGAACCTGAAAGCGCCAGTATTTTACCACCCAGTATGTCACGGATGTACGCAAGCAATATCACTGCTTTAACGTCCACTTTTACGGAACTGAGAAGCCTTTAATTGACTTACTAGCTTCCCAGATATTGTCTTATAATTATATACTTGCAACGTGCTGTCGAAAGACCTGCGCCATTATGTGTGTAGGTTACGACATTACACTTTTTATCCGTTCACTTTGGAAGCCGCGCGCTTGATGGGTGCTGTCTCGGTTGGCTCTTTTACAGTAATGGACACCGCTTGCCAACATTGAGGTTGCAGCTAGATGAGGTCCAAGCAGCAGCGTGCCTACCTTCTTCCGTCCTGAGAGTGCTAGTGCAGGATTGGTTGGATTGCGAAGAATATTGGCAAAAGAATTCTGTGACGGCGACCGACTGGAACCAACACGCACCGCTCCCGAACAGCCAAAAAGTGAATGCTATGACAGATATAGTTTGGTAAGCTACCTAGTGTATTTGACCGGAGAAATTTAATGGTTGCGAAGCATATCTCCACCATAGTGAATAAATATATGTAAAAAAATGCACAGATCTCTTTTTCCACTGCCACTTGGTTCTAGACTGTCCTATGAAACAAGAACATTGGATTAAGATAGAATACAAGTAGGTTGGTGTGCTTCTGATGTGTCAACACAGAGGCAGACTGTACAGCACGCGCAGCGCGCGTCCTGTGGTTTCTGCTTATTCGCTACCACCAACATGACATTTGCACTAGGAATTCGCAACGATGTACCAATTAACTACCGTATGAGGCGAACAATGTACACATTATCGTCCCGGTCGAAATCTGTGCTGTTACTGACGTTGAATTTTCACTTCAAGGCGAGCTATTTAACTTTGGCATTATTCGTGTTTTGTTACTAAAGATCTGTGAATCACACAGGTTAGTCGTTTATAAAGCACACAGATTCGAATTGTACTCTGACTGCTGTTGTTGTTCGTCGCACTTTGCTTCGCTTTAGCCTCATTGCCCCACAATTGTTTTTTCGTTCGCTGCTGTTGGGCACTTTCACCCCATCACTTGTCGAAACAACGCTGCATTTCGTTAGCGCTAGACTAGAGCAATTCTAAGCTGTTTGTCCAGCCTATATATTTGCCATAAACTGACTGACTCATCAAGATATGGTCACCTTCGGTATTCTTTGGTCGCAGTGAAGTATCGAATTTGTCACGGAACGCGTCAGCTGTCCGTCAGCCATACGTGGGCTCACGAGCGCGGATCTAGACATCGGACAATTTAGTGTATGTCAGCGTTCCCTTTCTTTGGCCCGGCCTTGACTAGTCGAGTTGTGAATCCTCTAAAATCACTAGTAATGAAATTTATCTTTAGTGACTATGCTGAAGTAGATGACTAACCAGGCAATATTTGCCGACACGACGGAAAAGTCATCACTCTGCTAGCTGTTGTACGCCGGTGATCGCACTTTCCAGTGAACAGGGAGTTAATGGAATCTGTATTTGGTGGGGTTGATGAACAGCAGTCGTTGTGCGGATATCTGTCATCAGGTCCAAGTAACCGTTAGTGATTAGTACTTGATACACGACAGCTCAATCCGTCAATGGGGTGTACTCATAGGAATCGTTTCTGCCTTTTCACAGCTTTATCTCCACCACAATATTGGATTAGTAGTGTTTAGAGTCGGTCGGTTTGGAGCCAATCAGTGGAAGTGCTTGGTGTTCAAAATGAAGTAATGAGAGCGAACGTTAGGCCCAAACAATTTCTATCGCCAAGGAATCATTCACGTGCTCAGCAGTATAGTTGGAGTCATTTATGTGGTGATACGTTATATCATCTGGCCGTTACCAAAACTTTTCGGTCTACTTGACACCATTGTTCTCCATCAAGAACGGCTGCCGCTCCATGCGTACGAGCAGTTGCAGGTGACTCCGAACCTGACGTGTTACTCCGGTTCTCACTTGTTGGTCACCTTTCATTCCATAATGTTTTGCTTTTTCTGCACATATTATTGTTTAGATGTGTACGATTGTAAATGTACGAAACGCTTGTGTCATCGCGCAACCTGTCACTTCCCATTCTCTCATTGCATACCAGAGATCACCTTGACGTAACTCGGTGATTCATCTAGCAGGATCCCAATGCGTGTGCTAACTCTCGCCGAAGTGCATCTCGCTAATTAGTAGTAGTATCAACGGTCTAATAACTAGACATAGAGCCAGACAAAACCATGAAATTCAGCAGATGACATGTTGAATCACCGCAGCAGGAGCATCATAGTATCACCGTGGAGCACATAAATCCCGTGGAAGGTCATGATTAAGTTAATCCACAATAGCGCAGTTTAGGTAACGAAGGGCTTGGAACTAAGAGCAACATCTAGTGTTTTTTTAGAAAATGTCCAAAGTAGAGGAGGATACAACCGGGTTTAGGAGAGAGTTCCAGGGTTGGCAAATCCGATAAGAAAAGTAATTCCGTGGACACTAGACGATTTTATTGTTCTCTGTTTCAAGCAGTTGTTCTTGTGCTTGGTGTGGCTAAGTTTCAGCAAATAGCAGTATACATGGTTTGGTTCACTCAATATTCGGTACATTAATGTAAGTGGGTGAAGTGGGTGAAGTTCGTCAGCGCCAGCAGGTCTGATGCCGTTAAGGTTGGCGAGTAGTTGATGCAACTCTCCAACACCTCAACCCAGACTGTGGAGTTCAGCAAGTGGGGTACATGTCAAACTCGGTACTTACATCGAGTCACTTGCAAATACAGAAGCGAAGTGCGCCACCAACGCAGACGCACGCTCAGTGATGGAGGTTAGGGGCTATCCGTCCGAGCCCTCTAGCACTGGTAGATCACCTATCGGCTTAAGTTGCCTTTTCACGTAAGCAAAGATTCTTTTCGGAGCAGTCTTTGCGGCAATTGTGAGCTGCTGTTCGAAATGCCAGTGCTTGCTCGTTTTTGCACTATTGCTAATATTTCGCTGTCTCTTATACTCCTCCTAGCCATTGGAAGTGCTGTAGAAGAGGAATTTGTCGCACGATTTGCGCCACCGCCGAGCCATTTTACCATACCTTTTTTCGAACCAGTGCAGCTTGTCTGGTTCAACTTTCCGACAATTCAATGGTACAAACTGAGAACATAGTAATGTCACTCCCTCTATGGCAGCAGTCTTCCACAGATGCATATTTTGGCCGATACCAATATACTTGCCTCGCGGCTTGAGTTAGACCGTCGCAGTTTTCCAGTAGTTGTAAGCTGGCTTCAGCGGACGGGACTACGGTAAAGATTGATACATACTGGCTTTGAGCATTGGGTGGTCGCTTGTTGCTAGGGACTCTAGGGCCTGAACGTCATACACATGTTGTTCACAGCTTGTTAACATCAAGTCTAGCCACGACGGTTGAGCGCGACATTATTCGAGTCGGCTGGTACATGTGTTGCGCCACTCTACTTTCAAGTACTAAGTCCACGAACTTTGTCGAGCTTGTAATGTCCGGGCATGAGTTCAACTTCCGGCCAGTGCACTCGAGAGCAATTGAAATCACCCATGAGTAGAAAATGGGGACGACTCACGTGGTTTCGGAGACGCGGCAACCAATCCAAACAACGGCAGGGTATTCTGAACTGACCGGTTCAAGATCGCGTTGTAGCCCTTCGTAGTTGTCCGGTTATCTGATCACTCGCCATGTCTTGATATCTTCTGCGAAAAATAGGAAATTGGAACCGATTCGTCTCGCTAGATCGTGTATGAAAACCAAGAATAGCCGGGGTCTTAGCACCGAGCCTTGTGATACACCTTACTCCACATCATTTACCTGCGACAGGGACTCCTGGACTCTCACCTCCAGTTGACGCTCATGTAGTAATAGTTTATCCAGCTAAGGATTGGGTCGCCAATGCCCCAGTTCTGAAGTTTATGAGAATTCCGTGGTTTAAGCGATCAACGCTTTTGAGAAGTCCAGTTAAATGACAGACTACTGCTCTGCCATCAACTGCTTTAGTCCACTTATTCAGTGCAATGAATAGGTTATTTGTACGTAAGTACTTTTGGCGGAAGCCATGTTGTTCCGGGACTATTATGCTATGGTTTCCAAGATACTTCATCAGCGCATCTGCGATGATTGATTCCACAACTTTGGAAAGCACAGAAAGCTGCGTTAATGGACGGTAATTTGTAGTCGATGCGGCTACCTCCCTTATGAATAGGAGTGATAATCTTGCGCAGTTGCACGCTTCAAAGGTCACCCAATAAATCTGACCATAATCTCTGTCTACCCTCAGCGGAAAGTGACAAAGACGAATTTTACGATACTCTACAGACATTGGTAAACCATTTTCCAAAACGCGACATCCTCATTATTGCTGGGGACTGGAATGCACAACCGGTCCTAGGAACGATCAAACGCGTCAAATGCTCGGGAGATTCGCCCTTGGAGATCGCTGTGATAATGGAGACCGCTTGCTCAGCTTCTGATTTTAACCGGTTGTGTGTAGCCAATGCTCGCTTACAGCATCCCGGCTTCCGGCAAGCACCATTCACCACAGTCGATATTGCGCAATTCAGAAGATCAAATCATTCCTGATACGGAAGAGAAACTTTCCAGAAGGGGAGAGTATTTTAGCAACCTCCTGAACCGCCCACTACACACCACCGCACCCATTTCGGCATTAACCCAGATAGCCTATGACGCGGATTGCTCACCGCCATCTCCCACATAAATTGCAGACATCCTTCGTCACCTGAAGCCGAAGAAAGCCCCGGAAACGGACGGGATTTCAGCGGAAATCTACAAATCTTGTTTACCAGCTCTCCTTGACCATTTGCACGAGCTCTTCTGCTCGATATGGAAGACCGAAATCTGTCCTTCCTCGTGGAGTACCTCAGTACTATTGCCATTTCCCGAGAAAGGTGACCGAACTGTGTGCAGTAATTATCACGGGATTAGCCTAATCGTAGAGGTTGCGAAAACCTTCGCACGAGTCTTGCTTTCCCGCTTTGCCAATGAGATAAATCTGCGAACTCGCCATAACCAAGGTGGCTTTCGTCCAGGCAGAGGCTGCACTGACCAAATCTTCACACTACGTCGAGTACTCTAACACCACTACCAGTTCCAGCAGCCCACGTTTGTGTGCCTCGTTGATTTGATCTTTGAATCATAAACAATGAGAGTGCCGTCCAAATACCATGATAATGTGCTAAGTAGATTGACATACAATTTCGGTTAAATAATTTCTCATCGTAGCTCCATCTATTTGGAAATGGTACTTTCCGTCGAGTGAGCTGTATGTTGAACGTGCAATGTAAGGTCAATTTTGTTATCTTTGGCGTAGGAGTTCTGATGGCAAGGTTCTTGTTCATTAGGTCTTCATCGATGAAATTAACCGTTTATATCAACTACACATTGGTAGACAGTTGTTCCGCATCGAAGCAAAGTATCCATAAGCTTTTCACCTACAAGTTATCCACGTATTTAACGGGTTCAAATGTATTCCATGTAATGTGGGCTGACATTACTTTGCGCAGTGGTACTAACAACACTACGAGCGATTGAACAACTGAGTGCACGGTCGATACTCGGATGCAGCTGGTTTCTGGGTTTATGAACCTTTTGTAGTCCGCAAAAGCGAAGTGGTTGCGGGCCAAATCAGGTGAACCGCGCGACCACTGAGCCATCAGTATAGGTGAATTACTTCAGTTTAATCTCACCCTACGTGATTCTATCCTACTGTGTTGGGTTAAACACCAATGTTTTAGAATCACGCCGAACCTTATGCATTTTTAACATGTAGTTTGACTCGTCCATCAGCAACAAAATTAACTTATATGTGATCGAGCGAGCATTACTTATGGTTTAGGTGTTGGTTCTGGTATGGCTTCACGATGATTACTAGTAATTATGAGAATTGTGACCTACAGTTTAGGCACCGTTGAGAAATGTGCGTTATGGTGCGGTACATTGTTAATTCATGCTTCCTAATGCGCCTGTCTTGTTCCTATCGGAACACCCTTCCATCTCCCTACAAATGTAACTATTCCTCTGCACGAAGTTGTATTTCCCTTTAATACGCATTCTCATTTCATCCGGAGGTCTTGGAATCAAACATCAGAAGTATGGACCTTGATACCTGTCAACCGGATTATATGCGGCTTAACTTCGCAGTTGCCTTCGAACAATGAAGAATTGCTGCCGGATAGAGTAAACGATCTACGTCCCACACCGCTAACCACTGGTACGCTTTATGCTCTATCCCATTGGTTGTCTTCGCAATCATCTTGATTTGGAACTCCAAAACTTCGCTCATATGGACTGCTACTTGTTCAGCTAACTTGTGATTTTTTCATTACTTAACCAAATGTTGTGTATTCATCCAGAATGATAATTTTAAAAAGCTGTCATACTACATAGTTCGATTACGTTGGCTTCGCGTGGCATTATGCTTTTAGCGACTGCCTGCAGCCTATCATTTAAGTGGAACCTCGATGCTACTTAGGGATAGCAATTATGAGGCCGGCGCCCTTGCCACTTTCGTTACGCCTAACATGGTTGGATTATATCATTATCACTAGCTTGCTGTTCGCTTCAGGAAACCTGTCAGCACGCGCGATGAAAACTGGCCATCCCGGCGCGTGGTCTCCTCATTCCGTGCTGCTTGCGAGATGCGCACGATCATTCAGGCCGTACTCCTTATGGGCGCAAACACGCGCCTTCTTCAAACGTTGTTATTTTCCAACATTCTTCATGTGATTCACATGCGTTATAGGCCTGCACTCTAACGTTTTCGTGATACATCTTGGTACCACTTCTCCGTTATCATCCTGCAGCGGTTTCGGACGATTTTGCCCTCACCTTACCCTTCTAGTCGTTGTCGCCAGTTCAGACTAGTTAACAGTCGGTCTTAACTGGGTTCGATGCAATGCGCTTATGGCAATTATTTGTTACCAATTCGGTTACGGTTCTGCACCCTATGCATAACGCCATCACAACCAGCTGGTGTTGTAAAACATCCATACTCTATACGGGTGATGGCCAACCATCCTTTACTTAGCTTCCATCAGGGCTCACGTGCAATATCACCAGTTTTCTCTTTTTCTCGAGATATATGCTTTTGTCGGAACGATGAATTCGCAATACGAAGTTTCTTCAACCTGATGTAGATCATATGAACGACTTTGTTCCGTACACCATAGTGTCATGGGTCTACTTGCCTTGAGTCGTGTCACCGGAAGAATAATGCTCCTGATGATAATGACAAAGACTCACCAGGAAAGTCTAAATAAATACAAATATGGAGCACTCGAATCATGAAAAACAGCAACAATGCGACTAACATCGTGAATGTGACATATCCACTTAGGCGGCCAGGCCGAGGCTCTAATTCAGTGTTTCAATAGGCACCGACTAGGCTCAGCCATTTCCCCGAGTTCTCCAGCCGCGCTATCGAAGTCCACCTTGATTGCATTGTTGGTAAGCAATATCTACCGATGCAGTCGGTCATGGAGCATGCACAGACAGTCCAATACACATCGGTGCGGCACCATATGAACAATGATTTATATCGGGTAAGAAAGCAATGGCTTGATAAGTCCCGCAAGATGATGGGGGTAAAACTACAATTATCAGACGATAGGTGAGTTGTATGTTTGAGCGTTTATCTAGCAGATACGCTGCTGAGTAATAGTAGTGTAAGTGGGAATTGAATGTGAACGACGTGGCAATATGGGGACAGTTATAGTTGATGTATTACATGTGAAAAGTAAAAACAAGAATACTCACTTCTGTCTTGCATCCTCAGGTTTACGTAACATGCTAATCCGGTTTGAAGGGATAATTAATATATTCCAAAGTTGCACAGTTTAGGCAACGAAGTGATGGGAGCCAAGGGCAAGATCCAATTCTTTTTTGTAAATATCTAAGGTAATGTAGGAAACAACGAAGTTTAGGAGAGTTCCAGGGTTGGCAAACCCGATGAGAAAAATATCTCCGCCGGCATTCCAGGCGGCTAAACTGTGCACACCATTTCGGAGGGTTACCTCTGAGATTGTTATTATGGCTGAGTTTCAACAAGTGACGGCAAACGTGATTAGGATCAGTCAATATTTGGTAGACTAATATGAGATCGCTGTGCAGCCTTCGGTAGCGGCCACTGAAAACTTTCAGTAACTTCAGCCTTTGATGGTAGGACCGATTTAGTAGGCCCTTGACGTTCTTTGTGGCCCTGCGTTCTGGTCGCGCTTCAATCGAATTACGAAGTGTTTTGATATACGAGCATTGATTTGCATACAACCTTGGGCAAACATTGTCGTTTTCTCGGTGACAAGTGCGCGCAGTGGTCACTTAGCCTATCCACACTGGTTGCGGTATAAGGTTGTAAATCCCTCCATCTACCAATAAGTACATATCCAACCGTCCTCAAAGGCGATCGACACTTTGAAAAGCCCTCTCACATAGCAAAATGAGAGGCTATGACGTACTCTGCTTGTTTTAGCAAACATACTCTGACAGCGCTGAGCTATGGCACAGGAATTTTAGAATAAGAGGATACTTCTCACATGAACCATTCAACCTGGCATATCACACACGAAACGAGTGTTAGCCAGCATGGTAGTTATCCGTTCTTAGCCCCATTGCCTTTCCTGAACTAACATGCCGTCACCCCTCGATGATGCTCTGTCAGCTGTAATACTAATAGTCCGAGGTATCGCTGTAAGGTCAAAGGACACTACGCATTCTAATTGGGGGGGGGGGGGTAAAACAACTTGTCTTTACAGATTGTTCCACCAATCTGGCCGGCTTCATCGTGCTGCGGCGCAAGTTAACGCACGAGTTAGTACACACTTTGCGGCATTTATGCAGACTGTGCATATAAGTCCATCGGACTAACTGGAGGTTTAAAACGCTGCAATGGAACAAGTGTCACTGCATGGACCAAGGGCACAGCCACCGAGAGTAGGCGTCATGATTCGTCGTGGTTCACTTCCAACGCTTCGGATTGTCGCATATATCCATCTGGAACGAGTTTGTTGCTTGCAGACGAGACTGGAACTTAACGTAGGGCCATACTGGGTGGTGCCTCCGGGCCCCTTGAGAGCTACTACCAGCTTGGTCAATGGTTAGAGGTCAGACAAACTCATTTTCCTGGTTTTCCAGGTTACCACCACACCGCTACCTTGCGGAGAGACTTTTGAGCCAAAACCTTTGGTTTAGGGCCCTAGTCGTCCTCCTGTCCAGGCGCCCTGGCAGTATCTCATCCCACATACACTTGGGCGAGCCCAGACTTAGTACAGTAACACTCGAATCCTCAACTGATGTGGAAAACGTTCTGCTTTTCGCAATCATGCTGCAACATGGGTCGTGTGGGATACGTATCTATCCTGATGTTCCGTGGAACATGCGACAGTCGAAAAGAAACTCCGAAGAAAGAGCCAATAACCTTGATTGCCCAAGCACTGTCTTCATCCATGGTGTGCTAGAACTTCCTTCACACGATAGTCAAGAGGTCGGAAATCACGATTTAGAACCACAGTGATTCATTTTTCGGAACCCTTTCCTTGGATAATGTTGTGGCGCAACCGCTCAAAAGGTTACCTCTCTCGCCAAATTATAGAGGATTCGGCCCGAGAATCCTAAAACTCGTGGTTCAATCCGAGCAAGCAGCGACGGATGTGTTACCTAGTTGGCGAAAAGTTCGAAAAAGCTTTCCAATGGAACTTCGGTTACGGACTGCAGATGCTTCGCAATCTTCAGTTGCGAAATCATCTGAAAAACAGACGTACCGGCGATGAATGCCCCTATACTTGATACTGACTTAGATCTAGGCGAGGGTTGGGACGCGCCTTGGCCAGAGCAAGGTACGGAATTAGTATCAGTATCTAATAAAAATACGAATAACGACCGACCTCACATCGATCGACACTCTCATACACTTGACCCTCTGTGGTCTACTAGAGACCGACAAACTACCCTGGTTGTACTCGAATGCTCAGGGCCTCTTCCATAAATTGGCCGAACTGAAAGATAGCCTACTTTCTCAGAAATTTGATAGCATCCGCATCACAGAGACGTGGTTACCAACTGAAATAACGGACGCTGAAATTTCGCTACTTGGCATTTCACTCATTCGGAACGACAAACTGACAAAATGAGGAGGCGTAATTCTGTATTACCGAAACGAATTACAGTGCGAGATCATGGAGGATTCAGATTTGTTTTGGTGCCGCCGGCAGTTAAGAGGCAGAGGCACTTGCCTTATAGTGTTGGTATACCGCCCCCTTAACTCTACATCCAGAATGGAGGACCAAATTGTGACTGCCCTCTGGTGAACTCTTACAGGAAGATACACTCACATCTTGACCATGCGTGATTTCAGTGTGCATTGTTTAGAAACCCCTGTCACAAGCGGAGAACACTTTAAAGCCGATCTGCAGAAGCTTGTAACCGGTGTTCCGCTTTGTAACCATGTCACTTCGCCCACTCGGCTAAAAACAGGTAATAGACCATCTGTGCTTGATCTTGTGCTTACTAATGAAAAACATATGATTGGTGAGTTAGTTGTAGACTGCCCGTTGGGTCGCAGTGATCATGCATTTTTTTAGTTTCGCCTTCATCTGCTATGCAGAATACCGAGATGCGGATCATGAGACGGAGCGAATCATCACAGGTTACGACCGATTAGCCCACAACCTAGCCGTTCATCGCTGAAGACGTCAGGATGTCGCCTGGTACGTGTTCGTAAATAAATTTAATCGGCTGGTTACGGATGCTTCAGGGACAAATGTTTGCTAACGGTCTGAAACAGTTGGTTACGTAAGGAGTAGAACTCGAAAATTGCTGGCAGTACGCAACGTAGTGTGGCGAGATTATAGATTATCCCCAACTCCAGTAAACTGGGATAATTCCCTAGCCCAACGAACGCACTGCACACAACTGCTCAGAGAGGACAAAGCCGCGCATCAGCAGAACATGGCAAAATCTTCAAACCAATCACAAGCTGCCGTAGAGGCACGTCCATGGTCTACGGAAGGTGAGGCATGAAATTCCTCCACTCAGGACGGCTGATGGCCTAACACGAACGGTTACGGAAGTAGCAAACGCGCTGCGGATGCAATATGTCCCCACCTTCCAGTGCGTATTACCATCCTTCCCGTTATTACCACTCCTTTTCCCCTCTCTTCTACAGGATATCATTATCCACATGAATCATCTCCGAGGACATACCTGCGACGCCCACCCGGCCACGGAATCAACACAGATCATTGGAATCGTCCGCACTTTGCAATCCCGACACACTAAAGGAATCCGGAAAGCTCATCTAATGTATACAAGTCACCTGAGTCCTCCGACCACCAGTTCCAATCACTCGCGGTCGATTCCGAAGAAGCCAACCACACAACCATGGGAAAC